ATACTCTTATTATAGCGAATTGGCCAATCAAATCTCTTAAAATCTTCACTATAGCCTTATAGCGAAGTTGAGGTCTAAAACATAAAGTTCGTTATAACAAGAGTTGACTGTAATTAGAATAATATTTTAATTATTTTAATTAAATAATATTTTTGATTATTTTATTTAAAATAAATATTTTTTAATTAAATAATATCTTTATTATTTAATTAAAATAATATTTTTTATTATTTTAATTAAACAGTCTTTATTATTTAATTAAATAATATTTTTAATTATTTTATTTTTATTATATAATATTTTAGTTATTAATAAATATATTTTGTTTTATTTAAAATTAAATAATTTATATTAATTTAAAATTTTCATTTTAATTTAAATTTAAATTATAATTATAATTTAAAAATAATTGAATTAAACTAAAATTTTCAAATTAAATTTTTATGTATTTAAAATTAAACTAAACTAAAAAGTTTTAAATTAACCTGAATTATTTAGAGAATTAATTTTATTAATATTTATATTTTATTTGAACTTTAATTTATAACAAATATAATATGATCTTCTTTTAATTTTAATATATAAAATAATTCAAACTGATTTATTTAGAATTAGTTTAAATCACTATAAATAAATAGCCTATAAATCAAATAAGTTAGTTTATATTATCTTTTAAATTGTAAAAGTTTGTAAGTAAATTTGCTTTTTTATTTACTATAATTTCTTTTTTAATTTATTTTTATAAAAATTAATTTATAAATAATAAATTTTACCATAATAATTTTTATTTTTTAATTAATGTAATAAAAATCTAAAGTTACTTATAAGTTAAAAATTTATTATTAAACTTTGATAAATATATTAAAATTTACTTTTAATAATATTAATCATAATAATTTATTATCACTTAAATTATAAATATAAAATTTTTTATAAAACATTTTATAAAACTTAAAATATTTTGATAGTTAATAATTATAAAAAAGATAAAATAAAGTTTATTAGATTTGTTATATTAAATACTGTATATTTAATAATAATATTTTTTAAATTTTTAAAATTAATAAAAATTAATATACAGTATATTAATTTTTCAATTTTTCAATTTTAAAATAACATTTATATAATAATTATTTAAAAATAAAATTCAGTTTATTGGATTCATCTTATTAAGACCTATTAAATGATAGTATATTTATATTTTGAGATTAATAGATAGTAAGATATATAATTTAAAATTTTAATTTTTTTTAATAATAATTTATCATTTATCTATCTTTACAAAATCACTGGTTAATTACTTATTTAATTTTACTTAATAAACATTATAAAATTTATTATAAAAATATTAATTTTATAATAATATATTTAAAATATTTAAAAATATTTAAAAATGATTTTAATTATAAATAAAATTGCTTACAAATTTATAAGTAAAATAATTAAAGAATAAAGTTTATCATGAAGAATAATTTTAATTATTATAATTTTTATGATTTATTAAAAAAAATTTTATTTTTTATTAGTAGTAAAGTGATTCAATTAGTTTGTAATTCAAAAAAAATTATTATAATAAAACTTAATTTTAAAATTAAATTATTTAAAAACTTTTTAATAAGCTTATAATTTTTTTTTATTAAATTATATTTTTCATATAATTATTATTAAAATTAATATTTCATTAAACTAGAGGTTTTTTTTTTTACAATAAATTAAAAACAAAAGATATTGTATAATGAAATAGATTAAAATATTATATAAGATGATATAATGTAGATGATCGAATATACATGATGCAAAGTCGTAAATAATTTCAAAATCTTTCGCTAAAAAATACACAGCCTAGTTGAGGCTAATTGTGGCTTTATTATTTATTTGAAAAAAAAATATTATATAAATCAAAATGTCGCTTTGTTAAAAAATTTTGGTGAAAACAAATAATGAATCTTAATAAGGATTGGTATGATAATATTATTACCGAGAATGGAATATTAAATATACCTTACGAACAAATTAGCGATGTACGAATGAGGATAGGATTTGGAAGATATGGTATTGTTTACAAAACGACCTGTAATTGGATCGATGGAGATGTAGCTGTTAAAGAGGTTTATGTAAGGTCGGAAAATGATCGAGAATGTATTGAGAGTTTTATTAATGAGGTACGCAAATATAAATATAAATATATCGTATATAAATTTCTATTCTTTTCCTTTAGATTAATTTGGAGATCGAAAATCTTTTATTTCTAGGTGAAAATTCATAACCGCGCGCGTAATAAAAGGATAATTCAACTTTATGGAATAAGTCGAAGTTAGTTATTCAAAATACTCTTTTCTCTTTGATTATATCATAAAAGATCCTTCAATTAATTGCAAATCTTTTTCCCAAGACGTAGAAAAGAAATTTTATTATATTGTGATTGAATATGCGAATGAAGGGACATTGTATGATTATTTAAATAAAAAAAAAGGTTTGAAGGAAAGGGTTCGTCTCGCAACACAAATATCCGAAGGACTTTCGTACCTTCACAATAAATTAAATATTTCACACCGAGATTTGGTAATTATCAAAATGTCACGCATAAACGTAATAAAGATTTCAAGAAAAAAACCATTGACAGCGCAACTTAACTTTTTTTTTTTTTTAGCATATGAGAAATATTCTTGTAAAGGATGGTAATATTAAAATATCGGATTTCGGAATGTCCAAAGGTTTAGACGTTAAGAACAAATCCTTTGGGCTTTTACCAATTTTTAAATCGCGGGAATTGTCGGCATTCGCTTTGGATAAAGTATCTGATATTTATAGTTTAGGAGTTATTTTATTGGAACTTTCGAATTGTCGTCGAACATTATTTCCTAAAGAACGAACAAGAAAGCGATATTCTACAAAAGACGAATTAGGATTACGCGATAAAACAGCCATGACTTCAATTTCAAAAGAATTACAATTTAAACCACTTGAACCAGTTTATTTAAGTACCGGCAAAAGGAATAATATTTGTGCGGTTCAAACTCTGCTAGAAAAAAAAAAGTTGATTAAAAAATTTTAAATGAACGATTTTTATTATTAATGATAATTAATAATTGTTCTTATGATTTCACATGAAGTGGGCTGCAAAAAATTTGAGGAAAAGTCAAGTTGATTACTAATGATAGTTACACAACATTTACATAGAAACAATGAACAAAATTTAATTAACAAATTCTCAATTTAAATTTGGTGCCAAATGCATTTTATTTTATTTTTTTTTATATTATTTACAATACAATTACTTTTAGTTAAAAAAATGTTTTAATGATATTAGTCTATTTTTGAGTGATTTGCATTCGCAATCTATTGTCATAAGATGGTGGAAATTCATAAAAAGGGGAGTTATGATTAAAACCTTCTATATCCGGGGAAGCACAAGTATAATGTCGTGAAGAATTATTATCATTATCATCATCAAGACGATAGTGATCGAAATAAACTTCATCTGCGTATTGGGGTAAATCCTCTGCACATCTACGGGAAAGTATTGTAATAGGAACGTCCACTTTAACCTCGGCATTCTTCATCTTCTTCTTATTACAATCTTCATGAGGTAACTTTATCTTGAAAGCGAATTTAAGAAGATGTGAAATTTTAATCGAAGTAGTTTCACACGAACAATGTATGTGTTTTGTACATTTTGGGATAGGAAGCGAAATGTTTTTATGATAAAATAAATTCACGAGATCATTCCCTTCCTGACCACAGAAATTCTCATCTTTATATAATGACAAATTACTTAATTCAATATTTGTTTGACCTTTCGCTTTATAAACGGATTCTTCATCGATTTGTATTTTCACCCCGACGATTTGCATTTTTTTCACCAGAGGGGTTAATTTCAGATCAATTTCAATGGAATCACCCATGGGATAAGCCCTCTTAGGAATGGTAATTTCATAATCTAATTGATCGTTCCAACCACTCGCGATGGCAATTCCTTCAGAATTTCTTTCTTCAAGGATGGTTCTAATTATAGGTACGCGTTGAGAGTCGCGTAACTTTGGGTATAAACCGGATCGAACCGCCGCAGCGCTTATTTTATAATTCACTGTACCACGAACTGTCTCGATAGTTTCGGGTACGGTACCCGGTACGAATAGTTCAAATGGATATTTATGTATTCCGGCAGGGATTAAGTGAAATCTTGGGGTTGAAGTATTTGAAGGGCTGGAACCGATGACACTGAATCGATATGGACCTGAAGTTGAACTTAACGGTAAAGGACGTGGCGTTTCGGGTGATGAAGTAGGTGGTGAAACGAACGTCCAGCCATGTGTCATTATTTCTTGTTTCTCACATAATTCATTTCGATTTGCACTTGATCCTATGAAAACGCATCATGAAAATATATTAGTAAAAAAAAAAAAAAATTCAAAAAAATCTGTAAAATAACCAAGTAATTACCATAATTAAGTTTCCCCTCGGGCCAAAAAGTTTTCAATGTTCCAGTAAATCTCATTTCAAGTTTACGAATTTTCGTCGGTTTAGATAAATTTAATATTAATTCACCTCTGAGAAAACTTCCTACAGACTCATCAGAATCTCCTCTAAAGTAAAGGACGGGTTCAACCAACTTGATTTGTAAATTTTCTGAAGTTGGGTATAATATTCTAATAAGTTTAAGTAATGGTGAACGGAATTTTGCATGGTGATTTACTGGATGTTGTTCTTGTTGAGCTGATGCGTCCGAGGTGATCCTTAACGCTGGAGGCATGTGTGAAAATGTGAAAATGAAGAGAGAAATGTAAAATTTGTTGATAGAGGAGACAGATAATTCCTTAATATTTATATGTAATAAAATCAGGTTTAAAAATGGTTACAACAATTTATTTGTTTAGTGATTGTGTGTGTGAACAATATTAATAAACAAAAAGTAACTAGATGATTTTTTTTTTATAATTTATCACTTTACAAAAAAAAAAAAAAAATCGATAGATGAAAAGAAAAATGTCAAGAGATTAAATAAAAAATTTTGTGAAATGGGATTTTTTTGAAAGATATTTATAATTAATTGTACAAAAAAGATTTTTAGGTGAATGTATAAAGATACCACACCTAATTCTCGGGAAAATAGCCGTTAATTAAAAATGCAAATCATTTTAACTATTTTGACATTATTTCCTGATTAGTACCGGATGGATCGGTACTTATTTGAGAGGAACTAATGAGGCATGCATATACCCGTATCGCATTAATCGCATTAACCATTTATGTTTACCTTTCATCTTCAAAGCATTTTTATTTATCAAGTTAATGACTTGTAAGAAAAAGGATTGGGCTGTTGAACTTCACGCTTCATTTCTCAACTTGGATAAATAAAATTGGAAGGTCATATTCATATTCATTCTCTTTACAAATCCGAGTGGGGTGTTTTTTTTTTTTCTTTTTTTTTTTTTGTGGTTTTAAAAGCAAGAACAATACAATTTTATCAGTAGGAGAAACCTTTTATCCTGGACGATTTATTATTTTTTTGGCGCTAAACTTTTAATTCCTGATCAATGAAACAAAAAAGAACTAGATTTAATTTGTTACTCATGATGTAATTTTATTTATAGCAATTGATCAAATCACCGTGCGCTAGACATGATCTCATTTCACATGACATACACCTTTTCAAATGGCCCGTTAACCTTTAACTAATTTAAGAAAAAAATTATGTCATCCAAAATTTGACGATTTTTTTTTTTATAGATGAAAATTAAAATACAGTATATCCAATAAAAAAAAAATATTATTTTACAGTATATATTGATATCGTAACAATAATTGTTGAATCAAAAAAAAAAAAAAAAAAGTGTTCCGGAATCATTTTTGCGCGGGACTTGTAGAATTGAAAAAATTTAATTGAAAACCTCGTAAACCTTTTATCTTAATAATCAACATCATCATCTTTTATCTTATTATTCCCACAATCATTAATTAAAATGCCAAGTAATCTCTGCAATACCACGATCGAGATTGCTAATTTTATCGAAAGCGGCTCGAGATAAGTCCAAACCACCAAAAGGACACGAAGGACATCTATCTTCAACTCTACAAGTAACGGTTCCATCTGGACCGGTTATAGTAACACTTTTACCACATATTGGATTATTGTTAGGATTTAACGTTTTATCAAATTGAGCAGCGTTAAGCGCTACTATCAAATCTGACCCTGATGAAACTTTACCGCATGCACCTAAACTTGGATCGTAAAATGTACCACGACCTGAAAAGTCACGTTTTTGAAGGTGAGATGAAAATGGCGTCGAATAAGAAGTGATTATGAGTTGTGAGAAAATTATAAAAAGTGATAAGAATCGACTTGAATTATTTGAAAAATGCATGACAACTTTTAATATGAACGTAAAAGGTGCTTTCGAGTGTCATTTAAATACTTTCACTGGTATTTTTTGTTTGAAATTTCTTGATTATAAAAACGTGTGAAGCGCAACGAATGATGTGAAATTTAATCATTTATGGAATTTCTTTTGTAATTGAGCGGAGCAAATGACAAAACAAATAAATAAACGGGGGAATTTTTTTGAAAGATTTAAGAAAAGAAAAGTTGGTATTGATTTAAAAAACATAATGCCAAATTTATTTGTGACGCATTAACAACATATTGCGTTTCCTATAAGATTTGTTTACAAGTAAATTGAATTAAGAAAAACGTTATTTAATTTAATTTATTTTTTATTTTTGTTTTTAAATCATCAGTTTTCTAAAATAAATTCGTCGTTTAGTTGGTTCGACGGTATTTTAATCTGTTGATCCTCCCTCTTCCTGAACACCAAACCTAAAGAGTGTTGAATGTAGGGGAAATCACCTCTTTCATTGTTACATTAATAAACAGAAGATAGATCTGGTAACAATAGACCTCACATAAATAATAAAAAAAGTAGACCCGATCTTCTTTCTCAAAATAAATATGTATCAAATTAAATTTGTTTACAATGAAAAATTTTTGGAATAAATAAAATAAATTCCTTCAATTAATCTGATCCTTGAATCCTAGGTTTGTCATTTTATTATTTTATTACTGTATATTATAAAAAAAAAAAAAAGTTTCAGATTTAACACATTCAAATATCTAGATACGCCTACATTAAAACCTATCATTACTAACAAAACCCCACATTACGCAAAGTTTAAATTAGGCAATAACAAGTCCTGTAAGGGAATAGGCTCCCACGCCAGCCTAAGCTGACTCCTTTTCCTTTTTTGTAAGATATCGTAGGAGAATATTACGAGCACCATTTATATCTCTATCAAGATTTATTTTACATTGGGGACAGCAAAATTCTTTGGATCCACCTAGTTTTTTATGAATATAGCCACAGAATCCGCAAGTTTTTCTTGTGTATTCTTCTGTACACATTACGACTTGGCACCATGAATACTCGTGTGACTTATGGATTAAATGCTGTCGAAAGCGATAATGTGACCATGTACACATGGTTCGAGTAGTCTTGGAGCCAATACGTCGTTGCCCATGTCGGACCATTCCTTGAGTGCGAAATTCGGGTAGTAATATTATACGATAATTTTCACACAGCCATTTAGCCAGCTTGTAATGACAATCATTCACAAGACAACGGATTTTTTTGTAAATTCGTAACATAACACGACGTAACCTACAATTAAAAGCAATAAATACATTAAGATTATAAATAATTAATAAATATTAATAACTAAATAAATTTTACCTATAACGCTTTCGCTTATTTTTTTTTTCCATGAATTTGATCACGCTTGCTCTGGAATTTGTCATATGCATGACATAATCTGTAAACTCGGCCAACATCGTTTTTGCCCCATTCAACAGCCATTCCACTTGGTTCATAGCTTGTCATAAATGTACGCACGCCTGGATCCAGAGAAATCACACCTGATCCTTCCTATTAAATTATTAAATATATGATTAATTGACATTTCAATTTAGATATAAATATAAATAATAAAAAATAGATAAAAACCTTTTGAAATATAGGACCTTGGTTTTCGGCCCGTATTTCAAGTGGTCTGGGTATACAAAGATAATATTCACCAAGCCGATTTATAACAAGACGACTATCATATTCAAGTTGACTTGGAAGAGGTTCTGATGACTTGATTTTATGAATAAATGCATGTTCACCACGAGACTTGCCCCAGTGTTTGGAAAGTATTGCAATTGACTGTTGAGAATCCTTTTTAGAACGGAACTTTATCTTGAATTTTTTACGATTTGCAGCAA